CAAGAGGAAATAAGAAGATATGGGGCACGGGGTGAGATGAATTGGCAGTGGTTGTAAGGAGGGAGGGAGGGAGGGAGGGAGGGAGGGAGGGAGGGAGGGAGAGAGAGAGAGAGAGAGAGAGAGAGAGAGAGAGAGAGAGAGAGAGAGAGAGAGAGATGGCGAAAATGAAGGAGACAATGATAATCGGATCGGGCTATATATACATGAAAACCTTAGAATAATTGAAACGAAGGTCGTATGTGCCGGAGGACGAAGGATACCGCAAAGCCGTTGAGAGTTGAGACCTTATATGAATGTGTGCAAGGAGGAGGATCCGATGATTGCGAATCGATCGAGAAAAAAACTCGGTTACATTGCTTCATTTCCCTTTCGGTTATTTTCAACCGTTGGAATTTAAATCTGTTCACAAGATTTGTTTGTCTTTTGTTTAACATTCTGCCTTTCATCGACCCACATTCTAATTGTGTCGACAAGAGCTCCAGTCATTTGTTAAGTATTCTCGCAATACCACTCTGAATTCTCTTTGGGAGGTTTCCGCTTGATCAACCCCTGTCTTAATGGAATTAATTGCAGCTAAAGATTCGATAGTTTATTCCTCAAATGATAAATCCCTTCGAAATAACAACTTACAAATTAACTAGTGTACAAGAAAGAAAAACTCGAGGAAAAAAAAGGGTAAACTATTAATGGGATGGCGAGAACTATGTTGGTGTGGGCTCAATTCTTCTAATGTTTCGAAAATCAAGATAATAGTAGAAAGGAGAGAAACTCTTCTCTTCCTAATCAAAGACGCCTACATTTTCCTAGCCGCTCCACCTTAATTGCAAATTTGACCCCAAAGTGGATCTTTCTTTCAATATCAGAATATCCGCCACATTTATGAAAATTCGCAATACCGAGCATAAAATCTTATGATTTACGATTCAAATCTTATGATTCAATTCATTCATATCTATGTCGATTCAAATGTTAAAATAAATCTTAAATATCAACAAATCAATCAAATTTTACGATTTTTGGTCCCTGTATTATTATATATATTTTTTTAAAATTTTGGTCCTTAAACAATAAATGCACCCTAAGTGGGGGTCAATTTGTAATATTTGGAAATCCACCTCCCTAACTGAAACAGTTTTGAAAATTGCAGAATCACCCCTATACTTACTCTATCTTCCCAGCCGCTCCACCCTAAAGTACTACTGAATTTTCATTTCCGAAAGTGTAAAAATACTAAAATACAACATTTCAAGCGCAAAATGAAATTAAAGTAACATACGATGTATTTTAAAAAAATTACTTACAAAATAGAAATATAATATAAATTATTGACTATGTAAGGGCAAAAAAGTAAGCCTCGTTTGGTTGCTAGTATAGCAAGAATTAGAAACATGTTTGATTGACATGAATCATGATTCAAGTCCGCTATAAAGCTGAAGTACGAGCACGACTTAGCTCGATAGAGTTAGGCTAATTTAGCCAAGTGTAAATAGACTTAGTAAAGATTCTAATTAGATACTTTCTAGCACTTTGCATTTGTAGATATGTTGTAGAAATTCTTTTAAATGTTCTAATGAACAACTCCTAGTTGTTTGATCAAATCAATCTTCACAATCCATTGAGGCGGCGACCTAAAATAAATAAGAGTGGGACTTCATTTTTAACTATTAGAATTGAAAATAATTAACCCCTACAGGGACAGGAAAATAGAAAAAGATAAGCATTGTTCAATAAGAAAATATGAAAATCAAGAACGAAAGGAGAGAGAAAGAACGAGAGGGAAAGAGAATAAGAAAGAAAGAGAAATTAAACACCAAGAGAAAACAAAACGTCATACTTGGAGGTTCCCACCAGCACGTTGTGTAGTCCTCCATTACAAGAATTCTTGAACATTTAAGTGATAAAAATTAAGACTGAAATAATAAACCGACAAAAAAATAAAAAAAATTAAATTAAATATCATGCACAATTCAGACAGTTCTCACTACCAGAATTCTTGAACATTTAAGTGATAAAAAATAAGACTGAAATAATAAACCGACAAAAAAATAAAAAAAATTAAATTAAATATCCTGCACAATTCAGACAGTTCTCACTACCACCACCCAATTTCTTCTTATTGACAGTTCTCAATACCACCATTCGTAATTGGTAGTACGTTTAATTCATTTGGAATTTCGTTTAGACTTAATTATATTCGTACTTTAATTGGTAGATTTTGTGTGTGCAAATCGAGAACTCGGTGTCCATGAAAGAAAAATAATCGAAAAAAAAAAAAAAATTGCAATTAAAAAAATAAAATCGAATTGGAAGAAGGAATCCTACAACAACTTTGTCAATGTCCATGTCCATGATTTCTAGCATATATCTTTCATCCGAACTCCAAATCATCTGACTTCAGCAACAATGGAATGATATCTCAAAGCTCAACTCTTATGTCATGAAACTTTTCAAAATTCGGACACACATAGTCAAAAAGTGGGGCAAAAATGGACAGGAACGAAAAAGCCGGCCAAAATGCACCGAAATAACTTCAGACAACCGTCGGAAAAATGACCTGAAAACTCGGACGTTGTCCGGTGATGCAAATTTTGACATAATGCTAAGAAGTTTAACAACGACTTCTAGAACACTAAAGTCAAACGTCAAGTACGGACTTCCGTCGTCTTCGGCGCCACCGTAGTACGAGGTGATGCCTTCCATTAGCGCACGCCTCACGAGGAAGAGCCGTTCCGAATGCTCCGCGAATACGAGGTACTTCCATTGGCGGGGGAATCACTCGTCGCGCTCGTTGCATCCTGTCTTCCAAAACCGTTTCTGATTCGCGAGGTCCTCGAGATCCCAACACTCGAAGTCGTAGTCGGAATCGTTTGTGCAGAACAACAGCTTTTGTCCCTTGGAATACACAAAGTCCACGTAAACTTTTTTGTGGAAAAGATCGCCAATCGGAGTCCACGCGTTAATGCGACCGGGGCAGCAGTAGAACAGCCGATTTTGCGGACCGAAAGACATAATGGCACGACAGCTGTCTTCTTCGGGGGAGGACGATACGATGACCTTTGACGGTACGGAAATAGGAAACGACGGAAGATCGAAGATACTCTGCGAGACGGAATTATACAGATACATATTATTATTATTTTTGAAGCTGCTGCGGCCGCCCCCCGAATTGCACAAATTGCACAAAGCTAGCCAACCGTGTGAAGAACCCACCACCATCCCGATATCTTTCGATGATTTCGAAGATTTTCCTTTTTTTTTTATTACTTTTTTATCAGCCATGCTGTAAAAGTTGTAGACCTTGTTGTCATCTTCAACACTGTCTTCAATCAACAGCCATGGCGCAACATGCGCACACTCAACTTTAGATGACGACGATATTCGTCGGACTGTTGGCCGAGCACTAATACAGTTACGAAAAATGGAGCGGCGGAGGAGCATCGAAGACGCCATTTTTATAGGTTCTAAAACAAGACGAGTGTAATTTTCTGAAAGAAAAAGAAGAGCACAATCAAGAACTACTATTCTTACACATAAATTATTAAGAGCACACAATCAAGAATTAAGAAAAATATTGAAAATAAAAATAAAAAATAAAAACCAAAATCAAGAGCTAGTAGAATAGGTTAATCTTACAAAACATAAAACAATAACCTAGCAATAATCCACTAATGTAATTGCATTATAAATAAGTCAATTTAAATAAGATCAAAGAGTTACAATAAGATTTTTATCAAGGCAAACGAAATCAAAATAACACTAATAGTACAAGAAAGAAAAAATGGCATATATAAAAAAAGAAAAAAGGTAAAACTAACTAGGGTTGGGATGGGTTGAACCATGTTGGGGTGGGGTCGATTCTTGGCATGAATGGAAGATCAGGCGGATAGTAGCACGGGGAGAAAGTCTTTTCTTCGTAATCGAAGATGCCTATATCGTGGCCTCCGTATCCGGTCTCGTCTTCTGGATCTGCATCGTTTAGATGTAGAGTAATTTCCTTTGTGTCGGTGAAATAGATCGAATTGGGATTCACATTCTTCTTCTTCTTGATCGGTATTTCGTCATCGTTTTCTTCTTCGATCACGAATCCATGTCCCGTAGAACCGATGAAGAACGCCATACCATCCAACGTCCCGTTCATGTACTTGATCTCTCCTTTCTCTCTCTTCTTTTCATCAACAATTAATTCATGAACATCGAAACCGTACGTAAGGTACGGACCCTCCTTGCGATCGTATAGCCAGAGACTGTCGTATCTTTCTTTACAGCAGAGTCTCTCCATCACGATACGCCGCACGAGAAAAAGGCGATTGGAGTTCTCCGCAAACACAAGGTATTTGAACGAGGAGAAGCAGGAAGCATCTCTTTCCAGCGCGTACTCTTTCCGCGATCGGGCGGACCAAGGGTAGTTATCCGTGTCGTATTCCATTTCATCGTTTCCCTTCTTCCAAATAAGTCTAGGAGAAGCGCCCCGAAGATCCCAACACTCAAAGTTGTCGTACTTTGTCGCGCAGAACAATAGATTTTTTTTCTTGGAAAACACAAAGTCCTCGTAAACCCTAGGAATCTTAGTAAACCCGGACTTGTCGTTTATCGGCTCGTTTTGGTGAAAAAGATCGCCGATTGGAGTCCACTCGTTACTGTGACCAAGGCGGCATACGGCCAGCCTATGTTCGGGACCGAAAGACATGATTGCCCGACAGCTGTCGTCTTCGTCGCCGGGAGAGCATGAAAGAATGACCTTTCTCGGTCGGTTATATTCGCTGCTGTAAAAAGGCAATGTATCGACCGGCGGGAGATTTACGGAGAGACGAGAGACGGGATTGTAGAGGAATAAATCGACGCTATAATTCCACTTGTAGTATTTGTGGCGCCACATGTACAAAGCTAGCCACCCGTGCGAAGATCCGACCAATGTGCCATCTTTCCCTTTTTTGCTCAAACGTTCGATTTTATCATCACCGAGATTGTAGAAGTTGTAGAACATTTTTTGGAAGCAGTCTTTAATCAACAGCCATGGCGCAGCCGCAGCCGCATGTTGAGATGACGACGATGATATTCGTCGGACTGATGGCCGACCACCACAAATCCAATTACGAAAAATGGAGCGCCCGAGTATCAAAGACGCCATTTTTAGGTTAGGTTCTAAAACAAGAGCGGCGGACTCGTCGATCTGGAGAGTGCGAATCTAAGCCAACGGGTGATTGCTTTCGCGTTTCTGGCCGATCGGTTTATAGGGAAACGGATTTTGAATTCTTTCAAGGTGGGGGATTTGTGCGACCGGCAAACGGAGTCGACCCACTTCATATACTTGCGCCTCTCGCTCTTGCGTAAATCGATCAGGTTGTCTATTGAAGTTTGAGCGTCGTCGAAGTCGAGGGAGGGGGTGTGTTTCCACAAGTTGATCCGACGAGACGAAAGGACGCTGGTGCGTGTGGATTCCTTGAACGACAGTATGCCGAGAAGAATGTCGTCGGGCAACCGACTTATCCGATCACCATCGCCCACAAAACTTGTATCACCACCACACTGTCAAAATCAATCAAACAAGATAAATAGTACATTAGAAGATAACTCAACAATGCAATAAGAGGAAAGTTAGCAACTTTTCAATACTACATAATTACGGGTCACCCCTTCAAATAATGTCAAATTACGAAAAAAAACCTCGTGTTTGGGTAATTACAATTTACAACCACCGCTTAACTATGTACGCCATCGTGTTAGGGAATTCCTAGAACATCTAATTTTAACTATAAATTATTAAATGAGTAAGAAAAAAAAGCCGCAGCAACCAAATAACATACAACATGATACTTAAAATAAAAAATTAAATGTTTGATCTTTATGTTAAAAAAAAGGCAGAAATTTTGTGGGTAAGCACACCTTCTCGGGTTGAAAATTGAAAATCGGCATGAATTTGGAATCGGTTACCACCCATAAAGCTTGAATCTTCTTCGGACAGAAAATCTATGATTCTTTCGACCAGAGGAACAAAAGCCGGCGTATTTTTGATTTATTTTTATATATAAAGAAATTGAGAATGGAAAAGGATTTGTATTGCAAAAGGGATATAGAGAGAAGAAAACGACGTCGTTTACACAAAACAAATTACCTATTGCAAAAAAAATGAAGAAGAAGAAGAAGCAAATGAAGAATAGGTTTGATAGCAAAGAGACGATGCAAACAAGGAAAGAAAGCATTTAGTAAAAGATTAGGTTTTGTAAAATAATGAACAAAGGAAAAAAAAAAGAAAAAAAAAAGCCCAATAAAAGGAGCCCTACTAATATTTCATAAAAGATTAGGGTTTTTTTTTTCCATTCTTTCAGAAAACCTAATCTGGAGAGATAACCCTAAGCCACTGATTGTTGGTGGAACTTTGGTTTTTATTTTTTTATTGTTTTCAATACTTTTCTTAATTCTTCTTTTTTTTTTTGTTCTTTCAGAAAATTACACTCATGTTTTAGAACCTAACCTAAAAAAATGGCGTCTTCGATACTCCGGCGCGGCTCCATTATTCGTAATTGGATTTGCGGTGGTCGGCCAACACTCCGACGACGAATATCATCATTTGCTGATTCACCAATGCTGCTAATTGGTTACACTCTTCAAGACAACGGTGAACCGAAACTGGACACGTTATACGAGTTTTACAACGTAGCCGATAAGAAGGTAATTCGGAGAAAACAGCCAGATGGCAAACTGAGAAATGGGATATTGGTTGGTGTTTCTAACGGCTGGCTAGCTTTGTACAGGTGGAGGGTTGATTTGTTCGATTTGCATTACACTTGCCGTGGCGACAAACTCTTGGATATGTTCGTGTATGATCCCCTCATGTGTGAACTCGTACAACTCCCACGACTCGAAAACTTGCCGATTCCCATCGATAAATCGAAGAAGCCGACAAAGATCGTCGTATCGCGCAAAAAAACAATCTTTGATTACGGCTATCGTGCAATTATGCGTTTCGGTCCGGAAAATAGGCTGTACTACTGCAACCCCGGAATCTACGACCAACACCACCAGCGGTGGACTCCCATCATCAATAAATCAATGTCTATTAATTATGACGACTTTGTGTATTCCAGTAGACGGAAGCGATTGTTCTGCGCGACGAAATGTGGGCGCGTCGAGAGCTGGGATCTTAGGGACGTACGTTGTCCAATACTGGAATGGGAGACGACCGAAAAAATTAATGAAGAATGCTTTTGCCGATACGTTGTGTTTGCCGGGGAGTCCAATCGGCTTTTTCTTGTTCGGCAGAATGTTGATAGTAGCAACAAGACTGTCGGTTTTGATGTTCATCAAGTTATTTTTGATGAAAATAAGAAAGAGAAAGTAGAGGTCAAGTACATGAATGGTACATTGGATGGTATGGCATTCTTCGTTGGTTCTGGTGGAGATGGTTTTGTCATTGAAGATAAGGACAAAATTGTCCGTTATAATATCGAGCCGGATTCAATCTATTTCACCGACCCAAAGAAGCTCGCTACTAGTTTACGTTGTGATGACGACGATACACACGCTGGCGGCGGCGGCGGCCATGATATAGGCATCTTTAATTACGAAACGAAGAAAGTATCTCCATTGTATTATTCTTCTCGTCTCCAAAGCGTCGATCACGCACCCGTGTGGTCGTTCGACCAACCTCCTAATTAAGTTGGTTCATTGGAGATATATATATATATATATATATATATATATATATATATATATATATATATATATATATATATATATATATATATATATATATCTCGATTTTTGCTTCTTTTTTTTTTTATTTTTTTTTTATTTTTTTATTGAAGTGTTCTTTTTAAATGAATCAAAATATTGTAGCAGAGAAAGTGAATGCGAATTATCATAAAGGCGAAAAGGAAATCAAGATTGAGCAAGATGGAGGTTCATCCGATAACTGTTCTAATAAATCCGTCACTCTCCAACAAAATTCTCCCTCTCAATTCGAGACCCGTTGCCCTTTTACAGGGTGATTCGCTCCCTCCGAACCCAATCGGAATCTCAAACTCTTGATAGTGTACTACTCAATATACAGCCACGTGGATGTTATTCTCTACATGATATATAGTGTATTGCCCTTACTGTTGTTGCTCTTATTATTAATTTTCTTTGTTTTGATACTCGATATATGTTCGGTTTTAATAATAATGCCTTTGATTGATTGTGTTTCGATCGATACAGATGCAAGAAATGCGTATATTGAGTTTCTTGAAAATATTTGCAAATTAGTAATGTGAATTATAAATAAGTTGCATCAACTTTTCTGACTTTTCTGCTAAATTGATTTCCGTAATTCCTATTGTAAATTTCTTTCGGGGACTTATTTACCAAATAAGAGGATAGCGTTTGAACGAAACAAGTGGGAATCTTTGTTCAGTGACTAAGGTCTATCATGGAAAAGCAATCAATCTATCTGTTGTTATGCAGCCAGCTTATGTTGGCAAGAAATTATGAATTTTAACGTAAAGATCGATGACCTTTAGTGTGAACAACGTGTTCGACTCGTATGTTATATCTCATTTTGAAAACAGTTAGTAATAAATAATAATAATAGTGGAGGTATAAGAATCTAAAACAGCTGTTATGTGTTTACCTTTAAGCTGCTGCATCTTCTAAATTTTAGTTTTGTTGTTTGCTGTACATCTTTGTTGTCTCTTTGATGAAACAGGGTTCTCGTATGTAATCGTAAGATGATAAGAACGAGCATGTGTTTCGCCATGCGATAAAATTTGATTCAATTCTCATGTTAACCGATTTAGGTGGACTGCAATTACTCAACTAGCACATCACGGAATGTTGTTTGTTCCGATTGGATATACTTGTGGAGCAGGTATGTTTAAAATGGATTCGATAAGAGGTGGCTCTTCGTACGGTGCTGAAGTTTTTGCAGGTGATGGAACAAGGGAACCGAGTGAAGTGGAGCTTGCAAAAATAATGTACGAGGAGAAAAGAAAAACGAGAAGTGCACATTTTTCATATATAATTAAGAGGAGGAAGATTCCAGTATTCGATCTTGCAAAAATGTATGAGGATCGTTCCAATTCTAATTTCCGAGAATAAATCTGAATTTATGAAATTATGTGCACTATGTCGATTTCGGACTCTACTGATTCTTTTCAGACACTGTATTTTTGCACAAAACGAGTACAAACTAGAGAAAATTCCATGGAATCTAGATAATTATATTGAATTTGACGTCATAAGGGTGGAGATGTAAGAAAATTCATAGTTGAGGGGTATATGTAATTATCCAAACATAAGGGGTTTTTTCGTAATTCGACCATACCTCAGAGGTGCTTGTATAATAATAATAATCAATAAAACGGGGAAAGAAAAAAATGATTGTAGAAGACAAATAAAATGAATAATTAGTAGTTTCTGCAAAAATTGAATCAATAAAAGTGAGATGAATTTTCCAATGTCCGTTTATATGATGTTTTCATTTTTTAATGGAGAAGAAGGCTGAGAAATATAATTCAATACGTATCGGTCTCAATCAAATATCGTATTTTCAATTATTCTAAATTAAAAAAGAAAAAGTTTATTTTACTTGTAATTTTGCCACAAGCTTCATCATTTCATCCCACTCGTGAATCGAGATAAAGTAAAATTGAACTAAATCGAAAAGAAATATTACGATGTACTTTTGTCGATCAATCATTATATAAGTATATTTATTTACAGTCAGAGGACTAGTTACAAAAATACATAAATAATAATAATAATAACCATCCAAACATCCTCTTCGTGTTCTTCATCGCTTTAATTTTTCGAGCCATATCCTAGTGTGAGTAATTATATACCTAATACTACAAATTAAGGCTATGATTATTAATCTCCACGTCTTGCCTTCAATATTTATCAGAATTCCTAGTGCAATTCCGATAATATTGTCGGCCAACCCAAAATCAACGGTGATCCTGAATCGTACAAGAATTGAAATTAAATTTATGCCACATGAAATGAACATAACTAGGGAATATACGTCCTTAAAATATTCCCCGAGTATAAGTGCAAGTACAGGGAATATAATCACACATAGCGCCTCGAGAGCTTTGAGTATGCGAATCTTTACTTCGGCATCTCGTATCGAAGTGTACCCATACGAAAGAAAGAGCGCAACAAACACGAGCAGAAAATATATCGCAGCTCAAAACACATGTGCAGAACAAAAACAGTACCGTAGCGGCCGAGGCTCGGGGTTTTTTTTACGAATATCCCCAATTTAAAATATGCATCTTGATTTAGTTGCAAGTATTAATTCAATCACATGAATTGTTTTTGAAAAATGAATTTTGTGCACAAAGATATGGCCAGCCATCTTACCTTTCATTCCCCCCTGCACTTCAATCACCATTTAACTGATTCAGAAAGCAATGTATCACATTTTCTAGGAGAGAAAGATGGAGTTGCATCAAGCCGAATTCGGCTCCTCCTGAAAATACTCGTAGCTTTTCCCCTGACTCAGTGGTGAATGCAGCCGCTACGGAAGATCTATTTAACGTTGGTTCCTTTGATGCCGAATCTGTGTACAGTGCAGATGAATCGAAAAGCCCACGAGAAAGTCCTGTCAGGCAAACATTTGAATGCCCACCTCGAGAAAATCCAGACGATCATTTCAGGAAAAGCTCCGACGGAGATACTGAAAAATTATGACAACAACGACGACGTTGATTCAGTCTGGGGCTTTAATGCTAAAGAAAGTAGTTATGTGGCATGTTTGCTCTTGTTATGTTTATTATGGGACCAACATTTTTGTTATCGAATTTATCGCGTATTATGGTTGAATAAACTGCACGAGATATGTCAAGTCTGCATGTGATCAATTTTAATTTGCTAAAAAGGGACTTTTGCTTCTTGCACTTGCTCTTATTAGGTGGTGTTTGCAAAAGCTTTTGAAAAAGTGATTATGAGCTTTTTCGGTTATTAACCAGTTTTTAAGTTGTTGCAAATGTTGTTATTGCTATTGCTTTTGATTCTCTTAAAATAGGGAAAATTTGGCAAAACCCCCCCATCACACAAGTGATGTTACGATCAACCCAAATTTTTAGCCAATTTTTGAGATAAATCCAAATCAGATTTTATTAATTAAAATAAATAAATTATCACAATTATACCCCTACCTTATAAGTAACGTAATTTTTAGTTTTGATAATTAAAAAATAGGAAAAATAAAGATACGTATATCTATTCCCGTTATATCTCAACAACACGTTCTTAAAACAATCCCATGATTATCGTCCCTCCATTATAGAGCACCGCTTCAACGTGCTGGTTATTTTTTAACCCCAAGAATTTGTGATCTGATCGCATAAATCGGAAAAGAAGGAACAAATTATACAGATCTGTTTTCGTGGCTTTTCGCAATTTATGTAAGTTTAAATTTTTTCTGGGTTGTTCGATTCTGTAAATAATCTTTTAAGGTGTATACATATGTTTTTAATCAATTGTTATCGATTGTTATGTCTTTTAAGGTGTATACACATGTTATTAAATTTTTTCTGGGTTGTTCGATTCTGTAAATAATCTTCAAAGGTGTATACATATGTTTTTAATCGATTGTTATCGATTGTTATGTCTTTTAAGGTGTATACACATGTTACCCATTCTTGCTGATCAGTAGCGATTTTCAAAATTGCAGAGTGGTTTTTATGTGATCGATTATGTAAATAAACTTTTAAGGTGTATACATATGGTTTTTATCGCTACTTATCGACTGCTATCGATTGTTATGTCTTTAAAGGTGTATACATATGTTATCAATTCCGGCAGATCAGTAGCGATTTCAAAATTGCATTGAGGTGAATTGGTACCCCGCAGCATCAGGTGTGGCAAGTGTAAGAGGATGGGGGGCCATAATAAGAATTCTTGCAAAATGGGTGCACAATGATCGACGCTTCGTTTTTATATTTTAAAATTTTAAGTTTTAATTGACTTTATTAATAATTATGTCGTAGTACACCCGTTTTGGGAATAGTACTGCAATTTTCGAATATCCTGCATTCACGACAATGTCTTTATTTTTTCAGATAACATTTTGAATTGATTTTGCAATGTGTTTTTTTGGGATCAGGAAAAATATAATTCCAGCATATGGTGAAAATTTGGGTTTTAGTTTGAATTTCTGACATAACTACAACACGTATAGGGTAAAACTGTGTAGCAAAACATATCCCGTTGTGCAGGAGCAAGTAGTGGTTTTCAGTTAACACATTGTAGAAGATAAAAGAATCATATTTAGCTTTTTTAACCATACTTACATAAGCACAACCAAATACTGTTTAATACATATATTGTTCAACTATGACTTTCATTATTGGTGGTGTTATCCACAAATCTTTGGCCCTCCGCAGTATAATGTGTAGCAATTGTAGGGGGATAGGGCATTATAATAAGAGTTCTTGCAAAATTGGTGCACAATGATCAACGAGTCGTTTTAAGTCTTCATTGATTATGTCGTAGCGGACCCGTCATGAGAATAATAACATGATTTTCAAATAATCATGAATTAGAGACAATGTCATTATTTTTTGCAGACAATAATTTGTTTTTGCAGACTAGTAGTGGTTTTAATTAGATCGAAATATCCGCAAATCTTTGTTCAATTAGTTAGCATGCACGTATCAACGATATATCCCCAAAACTTTGATCGATCCGCAAAAACTCATCAGTACATAATAACTTATAACACAAAGTAATCATAAAACAGCAGAATGAATCTAAATGTAGTGCAATCCAAATTAAAGTCATATAAGATTATCAAACTAATTTTGAAATGCAGCAATGTGGTTGTCGTAGAGGCATGCCACGGAAGAATGTCACGGTCATACTTAATCCACCACGAAATTGACGCGTCCATGTTTTTTCTTGACGAACGGCTTGCCCCAGTGTCTTGATTTCGTCTATGTAATATGTCAAAAAAACAGTGGTTATAAATTATGTATGATCATCAACACAACACAAAACAGCATACATACAAATGAATACCACACAATTACATACTACTTATGCATATGCAGATTTCAAAACAAACAGCCAAATACTTTATGCATATTTAAAAACTTCAAAACACATAATTACTAATCAGTACCACACAATCACATACTACTTTATGCATATTTCAAACCACAAAACAAATACTACCACAAACACATTCATAATGTTATGTAGATTTCGCATATTTTCAAAACCACACATTCATATAAAACGCATACTACCAAACCCACATACCCATACTACCTATTCCTACCAACAACCCACATGACAACTGCTACAAAAACCATCTTACACATACTAGCATAACCACCTAATACATACTGTTATATGAAAATTAAAAAATACCAATTTAACCAAACCCATTACTCAAAACAACGCACTTACCAATGAATACCACACTATTAGTTAATATTAAAAGCATATACATAACTCAAAACCCCAAAATAAATTATTTTTGCATATTCAAAAACAAAAATTAAACATTACACAAACAACCCAACAATTATCATTAATACAGGAAACAATGCAGTCACACATATACAAACACCACATAATCAACACCACTATTCAATCAGTGTGTGGTTTTCAATTCACATAAACGGTTTTAGTTTGGTGGGTGTGTGTGGGTTTCACTGTGCATTCTTGGGGTTTAGATTTGTTTAATACAATTTGAAACATGTCGTTTATTTAATACTTACTAATGAATACCAAATAATTATATAATACTTAATGCATATGCGCATTTTCAAAAATTGATAACAAATAATTTATGCATATTCAGAACAACTTATTATTAATGAATACCACACAATAACATAATACTTCATGTAAAACAAGTAATTTATGCATAATCAAAACAATTAGTTACCAATGTCACACAGATGCAAAAACCACATAATCAATACCACTATTCAAAACTACATTAAAAAGATGTATATATACACTATACCCAAAACCCATGTGCAAATTGTGGGTACTCACCACCAACACAATAGATGAAAAAAAACACACACACGCACAGATGTAAAACGAATAAAAATGAATACCACCCAGACATCACACAACACACACACAGAGAGATGTAAACCAAATAACTAAGAAAACCATCAAGACATCAACACAACACTACAAAAAAACACAGTACAATTGTTATACTGAAAAACCACATATTTCCGAATAAACGACATGTTTCAAAGTGTATTACACAAATCTAAACCCCGATAATGCACATTTAAACCCACACACGCCCACAAAACTAAAAACCGTTATGCGAATTGAAAACCACACACGCCTAACAAGAATGGATTTCAGAACTCACCAGGATCTAGTTCCATAATGTCTTGCCCTGTATTCGATTTTCTCTTTCCTGTAAAAGTTTACCCATATGGGTTAGGCACAAGCACAACAAATTAGGAACATTCGCTTAAATTACTTGCAGTATTCAAGAAACAAGTATAAATCACAAACACATCGCACTAATTACTTACTTTTAGATACTGATTTTTGAACCATCTTCTCTTATACAGATTACAGAGGAGCCGTGGCTTAATAAGCAAAACAAAAACTTGCGGTTTTCGATTATCAACCAGTAACAATATCATATATTGGATGGGCTGCTGAAAACGAAGGGCAGACTATGATTTCAGAGTGGATTTCTCGCCGATATTATTTTGGGGGGGGGGGGGGGGGGGGGGGGATTTGCAAACACATCAACTTATAAATTAACTGCGTAAATCTGTTTTTTAACGACATTTGCAAACACCCATAACTTCTAAAAATAAGCAATTGTTTCCAACTTCTGCTTTGACATAATCTTTTGCAAACACCCCTTAATTGTCTGTTCTTATTATGTTTATGAAATAAGCTTTTGATAAGCTAATTCTGTGTTATATATCTACACACTTTCGATACCTAAAGCTATACTTACACCTCACCATTATCACTATCTCACAATCAGGATTCGGATCATACAAAGCACGAAGATTTGTATGATCACCTCTTTGACAACAGCTTTTCGAGGTTTGATTCGTTCAGTGCAAACGACGGTGCCTCTCAACCCTATAGAGAGAGCAACCTCACCCGATTCGATTCGATGAGTAGCACAAGTGGATTTGGTCACAGCAGCAACTACTCGTTTGACGACTCGGATCCGTTTGGTTCCACTGGTCCGTTTAAGGTCTCGTCGGAAAATCAAGAAAAGAAGTTTTGAGGATTTAAATTGCTTTGGGAGATTGATTATATTGACAACAAACATTCAGTATGTAAACCTTTGTAATGATATTTCATATTCATCATGTATTCTATTTTTTGGGATAAAGAAGGTTTGATTCGACAAAACAATCTGGAAGGTTATGAAATTCTTCCAATTTTTATCTCGTTATGAATTTATGCTTGTTGAGTTTATTCAAAAATTTGATTTGATTCATTAATTAAATTACAAACAAAAATCATTTTAATATTTCTTACTGTTTGTTGGAATAAATTAGTGAAGCTCAGTCTTATAGAACAATAAAGTCTTTTCCAAAACGAATTGTGATCTATACAGCACGGATACGGAAACGGCGATACGTGGAAGCGGACATGGGGAAACGGTATGTCACAAAAATGGGAATACGGAAGGTTGGGGGAAACATATAAATTTTTATAAGTATAGGGATATATTTTATAAATATACTATGGGGTCATTAGCAATACACCCCTCATTTAGATAAAAACTAGTGATATGTCCATACCATAATTCTTTCTTTGTGAAAACCCCCTAGAATATTTATTTTCAATCTTACCCCTCTAGTAGTGTATCACGTTTTTTTTTTTTAATTATCCAATAATTTCGAAATCCCTATTAATGAGGCACCTAATCCTGCTAATTAGGCTTAATTATATATTTTCCCTAATTTATCTCAATTATTCCTTTTTTCTCTCTTTCCATAACAATTTAATTCCTAAAAATATGTTCCAAATTCCTAAAAAATTGCTATGAAATCAAAAAAATAAAATAAAAAAATAATCGGATTTTATTATTTTTATTTTTTATTTTTATATTATTTTTGGACTTTATTTAGTCATTTTGAATTTATTTTTAATTTTAATATTTTTTAATAAAAATATTATTTTAAATTTTTTTTAAAACTTTTTTTAAACAAAAAATTGAAATTTTTCTCTCGACAGGTTTGCAACGCCGAATATGACTATGGTTGAATATGACTATATGTGACTATAAACTGTAGTCATATTCTTTCTTTATATTGTTGTTTTTTACATTTTGAACTTAAAAGTTCTGATTATATGGCATAGTCATGTTTACCAAATCATATAAATAACCAAATCATATAAAACAACGAAGATTCCGTATATTTTATTTTATATTTTATATTTTTTTTATTATTTATTTGTTTTAATATTTTTTTTAATATTTTCTTAAATTCTTTTTAAACGAAAAATTGAAATTTCCCCGACAAGTTTACTACGCTGAATATGACTATAGTTGAATATGACTATTGCCTAATATGACTGTATGTGACTATATCAACTGTAGTCATATTCTTTCTTTATTTTGCCTGTTTTTGCATTTTCAACTTTAAATACCTGATTATATGGTGTAGTACAGTCATGTTTACCGAATTACATTAAAAAAAATGAAGATAGCCTATTATTTACAAAAAAAATTCAATCAACATCCACACAAAAAAAATCATAATTTTGAATTTTGTTATTACAAGTCAACTTGTAGCCACACAAATACATCGAAAAAATCACATGTATCAATTTTTCAACTAAAAACAACCAACAACATCATTGTAAATTAGAATAAAAACCTACAGATTTTACATATGACTATGTATGACTGCATAGTTGATTATCTCCAATTAGTCTGTTGTTCGACAATTAATTCGAGAAAAAAAATATATCAATTAACCTTGACTGTAGTCATATTAAGTCTATATTTATTCAATAACAGTGCGTCCAATGTGACTCCAATGTGACTCCGATGTAACTACACTCCTAGTCTATATATATATATATATATATATATATATATATATATATATATATTGTTCCAGAGCACAAACACTCGAGAAATTCAATCCCTTGAGCACAAAGTTTGCCCAATAAGCTTCTTTCACACTCAAACACACAATTTTATTTCGATTATCTACCTACCTACCTATTTCATATTGTGAACAACCAAACTGTTATCAAATTCAATTCCATAAACATTTATAGTTAGCAAGTGGTGACCTAGATATCTATCCTCTTCAGTCTTCACACACACACACACACGCGCACACACACACAGTGACTGAAAAATAAATACACACACATCAGACAATTTGATGCAGAGTGAGTTCTCACACACACACACAGGAGAGAGAACGAGAGAGATATGGAGATATAAAGAGAGAATTAATGTAATCCTACAATCACGTGAGAGGTTATGGAAAATAAATATTGCAATTATTTAAAAAACCTACTTATAAGGGTAGTTTCGACTTATCATGTTTTGTTGAAGGGGTTTCACTAATTAAGATTGGATTTTGGGTTTAGGCAAAAGTCTTAAAAGTCAAATGGGTTTTACTCATAATATTTTCCATTTAAGAGGGGTATTGCACATTTCCCCATATACTATATAAATATATATTAGTTTTTATTTATATATAAATCAATTTTATATATATTTCATACAAACATATTCAAAAAGAAGTTTACTATCAACTGCCAATTTATAATTGATCATTAAATCATGTAAATAATTAGGGAAACAATAAAAATATTTGAAAATTTGCTATTGAAACATGTTTTTAATTTTTTAGAAATTGCAAATGGCCCGTAGAGTGTCCAGTAGGTGTCCTCGAGTGTCGGCCACGAAACGTATCAGAAACACGGATACATTAAGAAGTTTAAATTTCCGAACTACTAGCTTGTAATCTAGTCACACTTATGTACGAAATTGCTAATTCTTCGATTACACAAAAACAATCTGAAAAAAGAAAGTGACTCTAGAAAGATTTTTTAGGGTTAGGTTGCATGATCATATTAAATTGTAATTCCGACATAATTCTCACACTACTTTTAGTTCTACAGTTGAACCTCAATAAATTAATAATTTCGCTTAAAAAATAAATTCTTCCGGTTCCGATTTGGTATAAGTATACTAAATTATTAATTCGATAATTTAATATTTTACTAAGTTAATAGTATTTAACTAATCCAACTATATTAATTTAGGGATAATTAGCTGGAACCCCCTTATTTGGAACTTATATGGCTGGGGGTCCATTTTGTTAGTTGATTATAGCTATAGGTCCCTTGACCAATAAATGTAATATAAATTAAATTAAATTATTCTTCTATTGACACTAATACCCTTAATTATTATTTATATTAAAGTAGTTAGTTATGGAAAATATGAATAAAATTCCACATTTCACTCTCCCATTTAACTCCCTCTCTCTCTCTCTCTTCTCCCTCACATCTCCACCTTCCTTTCTTTTCTCTCGTTTAACTCCTCTCTCTCTCTCTCTCCTCTCAATCACGTCTCTCTCTCTCTCATTTTTTTCTTTTTTTTTTTCTTTTTCTATTTTATAAAAGCAAAAATAAATAGCAAAATTGCAAAATACTTGTGTCAAGTTACAAGAACAAATTGCAAAGTACAATTAGCAACATACAAACTGCAATTTATAACAGCAAAATTAAATAGCAAAATAAATATAATACAGAATCACCTACCATATTTGACACACTCATCCGGTGAAAACTACTCGAAGGTTCCTATACTTACCGTCTAATTATCAAAATAGCTCTGTCGAGTCAATCCCAATAATCACAGATAAAGCACATAAATTGATCAAGTTCATGCACTAACAATCATAACAATTATAAGAAATAATCATAAAATCATAATTGCATAATCTCAAGAAGACGGGTTCACCATCCCCACATAGGGTTCCAACAAAATCCTAGATTAAAAACTCAGCTACAAACTATGCTTGAGTCTTCGTTGATCTTCGTTCTTCATGTTTTGTGGTGTAAAATTTCGTGCTTATGGTGTAGAGACATGTTGCTTTTATAGACTTTTCTTGATAAGGAAGGAGTAGAAACCTAATAGGAATCAATTTCCGCCACTTTCCCCCATCAGGACTTGTTCTTCGATTTTCGCCATGTTGGAGTCCGAATTTTGGAATATTTTGTAAATAAGAATTGTAGCCCTTGAAATTAGCTTTCCAATGCCGCCAAAATCACCTAATTCGGAGTTCGTATGAGAGAGATATGCTCGAAATCGTGGACACTGTCAAAGCTGTGGCGAGATTCCTTCTTCCAATTTGATTTGTTTCCTTATTTGCAACTTTTTCCTTTCTTTTTGATCTTTTTTCCTTCATTGACACATAATTCTCGTTTTTCACCTATAAAACACAAAATCAATCAATTAAAGCACAAATATAATTAAATCTAAACAAAAGATCCACGTAAAGTAAACGTATTGAGTGTAAAATCTACACTCAACACTTGTTCTGAAAGATTGCCTTTCATTTCTGTCATCAAAATCACTGGAAAATCCCAAGAGAGTTGATAAAGATTTGCATGGTTTCGGGCCTCTGTTCGATGAAACTCTCGGAATTTTAGGAACTGAAAGTATTGCGGCGGATAGAGATGCTCCATGTGGATTTTCGATATCGAAAGAATCGCAGTTGAAAGGAAATACGGCAGGTGTGGAATCAAAACTGCACCAGCTGCAAGGTGTTTGTGAAAATGCCGAGGAGAAATCAGACCAAATAAATATTGGGAATTTATCGGCTTTAGGAGATAACGATAATGCAATTTTGGATGGAATCGAATTCACGGATGTTTATCCAATCGTTCGTAAGGTGACTGAGATTGTTAGGACTGAAAACAGTGTGCCGCCGATGGAGGAGAGGCTCGAAAAAGCTGATTTCAACTACAATGAGGAAGTTGTCGAGAAGGTATTGAAGAATTGTTTCAAATATCCTCATTTGGCTTTGAGGTTTTTCAATTGGGTGAAATTTAGTAAAGGGTTTCGGCACACGACGAACACTTTTACTATGATGATAAACGTAGCTGGGGAAGCTAAGGAGTTAAGTTTGGTGGAGGATTTAGCCGAAGAAATGGTGAGGAGTTCTTGTAATATGAATGTTAAGACGTGGACTATTCTTCTGTCGCATTATGGTAAATCGAAATTGATTAGCAAATCGTTATTGGTGTTTGAGAACATGAGAAAATCTGGTGTCGAGCCCGATGCGATTGCTTACAGAATAATGCTCGGTGCTCTCTGTAATGGTGGAAGATCCGATCTTGCATTGGAGTTCTACAAAGATATGGTACATAATGAGGTGAATTTAGATTTGGGCTTGTGTAAACAATTACTCAAGTGCTTTGCATTGTCTGGAGATGTTACTTCCGTTTATTTAGTCGGTGAAAACATGAAAAAAAATTCCGAGATTTCCGAACCTCAGATTTACCATTTAATGCTGAAGAGTTTCTGTATTGCAGGGAGAATAAGAGAATCTTTAGAATTAATTCGCGACTTGAAGAATAAAAATGTTATTCTCGATGCTGGAATATTTGAAACATTAGTGAAAGGGCTTTGTAGCAAAGATAGGATTACGGATGCAATGGAAATACTTGAAATAATGAAGAAAAAGAACGTATTTGATGAGAATATATACCGAATTCTTATAAGTACGTATCTGAGAAGAAATGAAGTCGCTGAAGCACTTAGTCTTTTCGAAGAAGCGAAAAAATACGGAAATATCTCGGTCTCTACTTACACGAATTTGATGCAACACCTTTTCTGGAAGAACGAATTTCAGAAGGGGTTGGAGCTCTACGATGAGATGCTCGAAATGGGATTGGAATTAGATTGTGTGGCTATAACTGCTGCGGCTGTTGGTTACGTTCGAAAAAATTGCATTTCCGAAGCATGGGAAGTATTCATGAATATGGATGAGAAAGGAATCAAGCCAACTTCCAAATCGTACATTAAAATCTTTATGAGGGGGGCCGATTATGCTTTTAATCTATTCTTTTATTTTACAATAAAATTCTTTTGTTATTTTAAATATATATTAAACATTGTATATTAATGTACATTGTGGTAGAACTTTATACATAATATACAAAATAATATATTTTTAGAGTTAATTAATGACAATTTAATTTAAACTTAACAATTTATTCATATTTTGAAGTTTTCTGTTATACACATAAGATTTTAAGAAAAATAAGATCATTCTAATTATTAATATGGACAAGATCCCATACAAAGATTATATTAGTGGGTAAACATTTAAAGTTTTATTGAATTTTATTATAATATTTATTTGATCATTCATATTACACAATAACTAGCAACTTATTATATATATATATATATATATATATATATATATAATAGTGATAATAATAATAATAATAATCAATAAAACGAGGAAGAAAAAAAATGTTTGTAGAAGACAAAAAGAAACGAATAACATTACTACGTGGTAGTTTCTCAGCAAAAAATGGATGAATAAAAGCGAGATGAATTTTCCAATGTCCGATTATATGATGTTTTCATTTTTTTATGGAGAAATATAATTCAGTACGTATCGGTCTCAATCAAATTAAAGATCGTATTTTCAATTATTCTAAATTAAAAAAAGCTTATTTTACTTGTAATTTTGCCACAAGCCTCATCATTTCATCCCACTCGTGAATCGAGATAAAGTAAAATTGAACTATATCGAAAAGAAATATATTACGGTGTACATTTGTCGATCAATCATTATATAAGTATATTTATTTACAATCAGAGGACTAGCTACAAAAATACATTAATAATAATAATAATAATAATAATAATAATAATAATAATAATAATAATAATAATCCAAAACATTCTCTTCGTTCTTCCTCATCACTTTTTTCAAGCCATATCCCTAGTGTAGTAATTAATTACCTAATACTACAAATTAAGGCTATGATTATAATTATTTTCCACGTTGTGCCTTCAATTATCCTAGTGTAGTAATTAATTACCTAATACTACAAATTAAGGCTATGATTATAATTATTTTCCACGTTGTGCCTTCAATATTTATCAGAATTCCTAGTGCAATTCCGATAATATTGTCGGCCAACCCAAAATCAACGGTGATCCTGAATCGTACAAGAATTGAAATTAAATTTATGCCACATGAAATGAACATAACTAGGGAATATACGTCCTTAGAGTATTCCTCCAGTATAAGTGCAAGTACGGGGAATACCATCACACATAGCGCCTCGAGAGCTCTGAGTATGCGAATCTTTACTTCGACATCTCGTATCGACTTGTACCCATACGAGAGAGAGAGAGCGCAACAAACACGAGCAGAAAATATATCGCAGCTCCAAAACACACGTGCAGAACGAAAAAAGTACTGTAGTGGCCGAGGCTCGGGATTTTTATTTTGCTCGGAATTATGGGTTGCACGTATTTCGTGTGAAAGCCGGTGAGTAAAAACATTACCCAAGAAAGCGTTACGCATAACAAATGCGTGCTAATCCACAACCACCTGCACCGGATTATTTTTAGTAGTAGTTTTACGCATACTTGAGAAGAAGCGAGATGAGGAGAAGGTGCATCAATTTTTTAATGTTCAGATGAGGAAACTACTACTAAAAATCATTCGGTGCGGGTGGCTGTGGATTAGTACGCAGTTTGTTATGCGTAACGCTTTCTTGGGTATGTTGCAAAATTTCTA